GACTGGTCTCAGCTCTTCCAAGGCACTTACCAGACCTCTCTGGTCCCTGTTTTCCACATCTGTAAAATAGCAATAAAAAAATCCCATAGGTTTTCTCATTTTTTTATGGAAGCTTTCAAACTTGTTTTTAGTGTGCTTTTTTATTTTAAAATATTTAATTGACAAATAAGGATTATATATATTCAGAGTGTACAACATGTTTTGATATACATACGCACTGTATAATGATTACCACAATCAAATTAATTTAACACATCCATTACCACCCATGCTGTACATTAGAGCCCCAGACCTTGTTCATCCTATAACTGACAGTTTGGACCCTTTGAACAACACCTCCCCACTCATTTCCCCTTTCTCAAAGCCCCTGGTAACCACTGTTCTACCCTCTGCTTCTATGAGTTAAAGTTTTAGAGCATATTTTTGAAAGTAAGCGGAATAGTAAGCTGCCATGTATACATCACCTGGTCCCAAACACTTTTCTAGATTCCTTGAAAAAATTGTCAGGCATCATGCCATTTCACTCATCGTTGATAATTAGGATTGCATTTTTTTAAACGTGACCACCATGCCACTGTCACACCTAGCAAAATTAACAACCATTCTTTAACATCATGTCATATCGAGTCCAAAGCCAATTTCCCCAGTTGTCTCAAAGATGTATTTTTACAGTTGGTTTAGTCGCATCAGAATACAAACAGGGTCTGGATATTGGATGTGGTTATTGTCCCTTTTTTTTTTTTTAATCATATCACTGTTTTGTTGGAGAAACCACATCATTTGTCTTGTGGAATGTTACACATTCTGGATCAGGTTGATTGCTTCCTTCCAGTGGTGTTTAACTTTTTTCTTCCATTTTCCATATCGCATAGGTTGGATTGTAAGGATTAAATGAGTTAATACTTGTAAAGCGCTTAGCAGGTATATTAATTTGCCAGGGTTGCCAAAACAAAGGACCACAGACTAGGTGCCTTAAACAACAGAAATGTGTTGTCTCACAGCCTGACATCCAGGTGTTGTCAGGGCTGGTGTTGCCGGGGCTGGGAGAGAAAGGTGTGTTCCAGGCCACTCTCCTTGGCTGAAAATGCCCACTGTCTCCCTGTCTTCCTGTCATCTTCCCCCTGTCTCTGTGCTGAATTTCCCCTTTTTATGATGACATCAGTCACACTGGATTAGGACTTACATTAATTAATAACAATTTTGTTTCCAAATAAGGTCACATTCTGAGGTACAAAGGGGTGAGAATTCAACATATGAATGGGGGGGCGACAGGCAACAATTCAACCGCCAACAGCGCGATACATGGCCCATGGTAAAACTTCTATAAATATTAGCCGTCAGCCTTCAACCATTAACATATTATATTGTTACTTAAGGATTAAAAGTTAGTATATGTAAAACCCTGAGCACAATACCTAGCACATGGTAAAATTTCTATATAAATATTAGGTATTGGCCGGGTGTGGTGCCTCACGCTTGTAATCCCAGCACTTCAGGAGGCTAAGGCGGGTGGATTACTGGAGGTCAGGAGTTCAAGACCAGCCTGGCCAAATGGCGAAACCCTGTCTCTACTAAAAATATAAAAATTAGCCTGGCATGGTAGTGGGCGCCTGTAATCCCAGCTACTTGGGAAGCTGAGGCAGAAGAATTGCTTGAACCTGGAAAGCGGAGGTTGCAGTGATCTGGGATTGTGCCACTGCACTCCACCCAGCCTGGGCAACAGAGTGAGACTCCATCTCCAAAGAAAAAAAAAAAAAAGAAAAAAATTAGGTATTGCATTGTAACATGTTACAATGTTATTTTGTAATTGTTTTAATACTAATTTATATTCATGTTAGAATGTTATTTAGTAATTTTTAAGTACTAATTTAAATTCACAAGACTCTTAAGAAAGAGCCACAGCAGTAATCACTTTTGCCACGTGGGGAGACAGGAGTACGTCTGCAGATTGGGAGGCCTACAGAGAGAGTGGGAGCCTGGGTGGGTGCTGGAGTAGCCGGGAGCCCCAGCTCTGGCAGGGCGGGGTCCTGGCTCTCCTGGGTCACCAGCCACACAACACCGGGAAAGTCACTGTTCCAGACTGGGGATTCCTTTTCTCTAAAATGATTATACAATAGGTATTCTCCAGCCCCCTTTTCACAACTAAAATTCTAGGTTCTATAAAGAAAAGACCCATAAAAGGCACAGCGTGTGACTATCAGTTAAACAGTAAGAAAGCTATTTCACTCTATTTGTAGTATTTCCAAAAATCTTACAAAAACATTTACCAGGCAATAGATCATTCTTTTTTTTTTTGAATCTCGCTCTGTCGCCCAGACTGGAGTGCAGTGGCGTTGAACTCGGCTCACTGCAAGCTCCACCTCCCGGGTTCACGCCATTCTCCTGCCTCAGCCTCCTGAGTGGCTGGGACTACAGGCGCCCGCCATCACGCCCAGCTAAATTTTTTTGTATTTTTTTTAGTATAGACGGGGTTTCACCGTGTTAGCCAGGATGGTCTCAATCTCCTGACCTTATGATCCGCCCACCTTGGCCTCCCAAAGTGCTGGGATTACAGGCGTGAGCCACCGCGCCCAGCCTCATCATTCTTAAAAAGGACTAGGAAAGGCAGCCAGGTTGACATGTGCCCATCTTCTCAGATTACACCACTATCATCTTTACTTTGGTTTATCCCTAACTTAACTTTTTTTGTTATATTTCATGTACCATTTTGACTTTCTTTTTATATGTGAACTACTTTTTGGTCTCAGAGTTGTTTGTGGTTATTTCTGTATTCTTGTTTAAGCCTCTTATCAAGAGTTTTGTTTTGTTTTGTTGAGACAGGGTCTCACTTTGTCATCCAGGCTGGAGGGCAGTAGCATGATCACGGCTCACTGCAGCCTCGACCTCTCCAGGCTCAAGTGATCCAACTGCCTTAGCCTTCCGAGTAGTTGGGACTATAGGCACACACTGCCATGCCCTGCTAATTTTGGTACTTTTTGCAGACACAAGGTCTCGCCATGTTGCCCAGGCTGGTCTCAAACACCTGAGTTCAAATGACCTGCCCGCCTCAGCCTCCCAAAGTGCTGGGATTACAAGTGTGAGCCATCACGCCCAGCCCATTTTGTCTTTCTACTCCATTTTTTTCACCAAGCACTTTTCCCTGACTTGTTTTCTCTTTTATTCCCCTCATGGTACACTTCTTTCTTCCTCTTACTTCTTTTTTCTCAAATCTGGATGGAAGACACAAAATTTCTCAATACGGAGATGGAATCGCTTACAGCATCCCAGTGAGGCTTCATTCTGAAAACCCTGCCTACTTTGTTCATATGAGAACAGCCCCCAGGGGAGATGGCTGGGAATGAAGATGACAGAGCTCAGTGTGGACTCACAGCTTCTCAGACCTCTGCAGGTGCACAAGTCCCCACTTCAACAGAATGTCACTTGTCCCCCAGCTGGAACATTTCTCCCTGGGGGCAGCTCTGTTAAGAAGCTCACTGCCCAGCAGCGCACTGGGAAGAATGGTGATGGAGGGGTGTTAAGTGGGGGAAAGGAGATCCTGTTGTTCGGGGCAGGAGAGAACACAGCCTTTCATGCTGTTGAGCATTGGGAGAAGTGTGCTAACACATTTTCAGATCATCAGAAAGGATTACTGATTGTAAAGAAAACCTAGAGTTTGCCAAGGGTCCTTAACATCTTCATGTTGCCCATCATCAGAATGGAGGGGCTGAGAGGGCAGCCATGGCTGGGATGTGGAGAGAAGGGGACACCGGTCTCCAGCAGTCAGGAGGGCAGAGGGCTTCACACCAGAGGATGACATCTAGAGGACTGGGGACTTGGAGCCAATTTATACGGTGACTTCGTGTTTTTCCATCCATTCTCCAAGCAGCTTTTTTGGAAAAAGGCTTTGGGGTCCCCTTCTGTTGCCTGGGCTGGAGTGCAGAGGCACAGTTGTACCTCACTGCTGCCCCCAGCTCCTGAGTTCAAGCAATCCTCCTGCCTCAGCCTCCCAAAACACTGAGATTACCAGCATGAGCCACCCTGCCCAACTTAAACAGCTTTTTTATCTTCATGTGGCTTTCCCAGTAGACTTCCCCCTGAAAAGACACAGTTGCCGTTCAAAAGAATTACATGGCCTTTCTGTCTCAGACCAATGTCATTTGCTCGGACAGTATAAAACAGTTTTCCCCCAGATTTCTCTACTTACTCTGGATAAGCTGAAGAGTCAAAGTAATATGACCAGAACTTGGCAACTCTTCGGATATGAGGAGCTGACAGTAAGAAAAGAGTCGATGGTAATATCAAATTTTGAGGTCAGAGCTCCCAGAAGAAGGATATACCACACATAGAACAGAAGAAGCTCGACTCTGTCGCAGTACTGATCGTCTTCAGGTCTCCTCTCACCACCAACCCTCTACCTTAAAATCTTGCAGTAGAACCTCTGTTGGAAGCAAGCTGTCATTTCAAGGGCCATATTTCACTTTCATATTTATTTATAAATTCCATTTTAGTGCTTTCTATGTGCAAGATGGTGAACCAGGTGTTAGGGGATTGAACAAGGGGGAAAGATACAGCATACCATCTAAGAAGAACAGAGGGTTGGCCGGGCGCGGTGGCTTATGCCTGAAATCCCAGCACTTTGGGAGGCCAAGGCGGGCAGATCACCTGAGGTCAAGAGTTCGAGACCAGCCTGGCCAACATGGTGAAACTCTGTCTCTAATAAAAGTATAAAAATTAGCCAGGCGTGGTGACGGATGCCTGTAATCCCAGCTACTCTGGAGGCTGAGACAGAAGAATCATTTGAACCCAGGGGGTAGAGGTTGCAGTGAGCCAAGATCACGCCACTGCATTCCAGCCTAGGCAAGAAGAGCAAGACTCCGTCTCAAAAAAAAAAAGAGCAGAGGGTTAAGCAGAGAATATAAGACACATATAGAAATAACTAAAATGCAAACATGTCAGTTATTTGTATTAGAAATCATTTAGGAGACAGTCAACTATAAATAACAGAAAAAACCTACTTTTAATTGATTTTTTAAATAAAATAAATTTATTATCTCACCAAAAGTCTAGAAATAGGATGATTCTAGGGCCAGTTAATATAACAGCTTGAGGACTTCATGGAGCCAGGTTCTTTCCATCTTTACGCTCTGCCATCTGAGCATGTTGGCCTTGGTCTTCAAACTTGTCCCCTCGTGACACAAGAGGGCCACAGGTTCAGTCATTCCACAGGGGCACAACCACTCTGGGTGAAAGAAGAGGGGCCAATGTCTCCAATTGTTTTTCTTTTATTTTTATGGGCAGGAGAGAAACTACCCCTCCCCCACTTCCTCTGTGTCTCACTTACCACAAGTACATCACACGACCATTTTTACATGAATCACCAGCAAGGAGAATATTAACTCAATTGTTTGGACCAATAAAGAGTAACATTTCTTTGGACCTGGAGAGGGAGCCCTGGACGCCAGACACCTAAACAAAATCTGGATTCTGTTATAAAGGTAAAGAAGAGGGAATGGCTTTATGGGGATAAAGAAGAGTATTTGCTGCAATATGCTTGTTGTAGCTGGCACATTCACTTGAAGCTGTTTAGTCCCATCCAACAATGTTTAGACAATGAAGTGTCTGAGATCCTTTCATTGTTTTACAAGAGAAAGGGTAAACACCATGTTCCGCCAGAACTGAGGATGGCTCTTGAATAAACACAACTACTGATTTCTGTGGCACCAGCTGTGTGCCAAATGCTGCATGCCGGGCACAGCACTGCCCTAAGCATTTTAGCCCATAGCTCATTTTGTTCTTACCACAGTTTTGCAAAGTGGATGCTATTACCCTCATTTATGCAAATGAAAGAAAACAGACAAACACTTGCTTCAAGGAAGTCGAGTAACTTGCCAAAGTCACAAGCTAAGCCATGACAGAGGTGAGAGCCAGCCCACACCTACCTCAGGCCCAAGCTCCTTCTCTTCCAGCATACGTCTCCACTGCTTGATTCCCAGGACAAGCGTGCGGAGAGCAGGAACTTGTGGTGATGGTGATGGAGGGGTGTTAAGGGAGGGAAAGGAGATCCTGTTGTTCCGGGCAGGAGAGAACACAGCCTTTCATGCTGTTGAGCACTGGGAGAAGTGTGCTAACACACTTTCAGATCATCAGAAAGGATTACTAATTGTAAAGAAACCCTGGAGTTTGCCAAGGGTCCTTAACATCTTCATGTTGCCCATCATCAGAATGGAGAGGCTGAGAGGGCAGCAACGGCTGGGATGTGGAGAGAAGGGGACAGCGCCTATGTATGACAGCAGGGGCCGAGGGAGGATAGCTTTACGCCCTCCCGAAGGTACTATGCTGCTGTAGAACTGGAGGCTGGGAGTTGGGGTCAAAAGGAGTCCCTGAGCTTATCCAGGAAGAGGTGTTGATTGATTGAGGACAGTGGGAATCCAGCATTTAGAGTGGACAAGAATTTCACCCTCTTTCTGCTCAGAAAGGGTGGGTTCTCAGCACTGCTGATTATAATGGAAAAAAAATAGGGCTGACTTAGAAAACTGTTTAACAGATACACCAAAAGATTCAGATTATTTCATAAAGCTTTTCATTAGGAACCTGGAATCCACTTTGCATCCATCCAAATGACAAGTCAAGGCTGACAATAAAACTTGTGTTTCACTTCATAATATGCAACGTGTCTCTACATGCACCATCTCATGCGACATCTGAGGTCCCTGTCACTCCCCTCTCAGATGATGAAATAGGCGCCGATGGAAACATTCTATATCTGCTTGCTCTATGCCGTAGCCACAGCCACATGTAGCTATTGGGCACTTGACTGTGACTAGTGCAACTAAGGAACTGAATTTTTAATTTTAACTAATTTAAGTTTTAATTTAAGAAGCCACCTGTGGGCCAGGCGTGGTGGCTCACACCTGTAATCCCAGCACTCTGGGAGGCTGAGGCAGATGGATCACCTGAGGTCAGGAGTTCAAGGCCAACCTAGCCAACATGGCAAAACCATGTCTCTACTAAAAAATATAAAAATTATCTGGGTGTGGTCGTGGGCCCCTATAGTCCCAGCTACTCAGGAGGCTGAGACAAGAAAGTCAGTTGAACGCAGGAGGCAGAGGTTGCAGTGAGCCAGGATCATGCCACTGCACTGCAGCCTGGGCAACAGAGTGAGACTCCATCTCAAAAAAAAAAAAAAAAAAGCAGCAACCACCTGTGGCCTGTGGTTCTGTATTGCCGGTGCACTTGTAGATGTTCAGGACTTGCCCAAGTCCATGGCTCCAGTCAGCTGCAGTGTGTTACTCCTCTATTTCCAATAACAGATTGCAACAAATTTTTTCTGGGTTCCTTGAGTTAATCATCAACCTGATTTAAATGTTGGAAATTTAATTCTGTTGTGAAAACTTCTCAAGGATGAATGTTATAAGGGGAAAGGACCAATAATAGTTGAAATGAACATTCCCTTATGTCAGTTAGGTCTGGATTTGTTGGGCAATGGGAGCATAGCATATATTCCAGCGCCTGAGTGAAGTTTTCCACTCAGGTTGTGGGGAAGCAAATGAGCTTCTGCGCCCAGTAATGCCGGCAATTGCCTAAAAGAGACTACTCAGTAAGGGGCATGACCAGAGCTGTCCTTCACCTTCTGGGAGGAAAAACAGAATCAAAATCTCTCTTGTGATTTACTGGTAGCCATAAATCTTGGAAGGTCCTAGGCACCAAACAGATATCTGACATGACTTCTGACATCATGATCTGACACTATTTCTGCTCATCAACACTGTTAGGGCAATTGAAGGGACATAGCAGCGGCAAGGGCAGAAGAAGGGGTGCCGGAAGGGAGGAGCCTTCATCAGTGAAACCTCATGCTTTCATGGAAAAGAGGGACAAAGGGAGTAAGAATTACAGCAAGTTCCCAGGGAAAATACCTCATCTGTTTTGAGGGTGTATGTACAGTCCTCTGGTAATCTAAACAAAGATTCCATCCTGCGCTGTGATGAGGACCATCATCCCACTATCAGTGGGGCCCCAGGTACTGTTTCCCTATCTCAACTCTTTGCCTACTAAGGGATTTTGGACTTGGTTGGGAAAACGTGCCAATGACAACACTGATCCCTCCCACCCAAGTCCGACCTTCGGAGGCTTGGGTTGCCCTGTTGCGTGAAGTCGAGGGATTCCCAGCATGTTGAACATTCCTATCTCCTTAGCCTGCCTCCAGATAGCTCCCTTCCTTCCTGGATAGATACAAGTATAGGTTAGCCAGGCAGGTGACCCTCACCTCCACCCCGGATTTAGTCAGAAATTTCATTCCATCATCATTATTAATAGCTGGGTGTGCTAATGTTTCCTGAAGAACATGATAAGAACCACACAGAATCTGAAGGAAACAAATCCATGACTCGGCACTTTCCCTCATACTCGACAGCAATGGAGAGTTCCTGGTTGACCCGAAAATATCTGTGAGGCCTGGGACTCTTGCCCAATGTCTGCGTGAAAATCTAATCTTATGTGGGATAAGGGTGTGCAGCCACTGAAACTTAGAAAAATCATAGACAGCCTCCGTGTAATGTCACCCTCGAGCCCTGCAGCTGCCCGAAGTCAATGAACAGAACTGCCTTCTACCTACAGTGCCAGTGGCTGCTTCCTGAATTCCAATTAGTTTGCTAAAGGGAGGAAATCTAAAGTTTACTGAGAATTATCTTCAAGGTTTTTATATGCATCTCAGATTAGTCCCTCCATCTCCCTGTGAGATAAGAAATATGGACTAATTGTAGAGTTGGAGAAGCTGAGGTTCAGAGAAGTTAAGTGATTAGCTCAAGATCACACAGCTAATTAGAAGAAGAGCCCAAATCCAAACCTGACCTGTTCGTCTCTCAGCACTGAGCTCCTACCCCAGGCAGCATGATCTGAATGGGGGCTGGGTACCCACTGGTGCGGACTGAATTGTGCCCCCAGCACAAAATAATTGTATGTTGAAACCATTACCCCCAATGTGACTGCATTCAGAGGTCAGGCTTTTAGGAAGGTAGTTATGGTTCAATGAGGTCATAAGGGGGTGCCCAAAGCAATAGAACTGATGTTCTTATAAGCAAAGGAAGCCTGGGCAACACAGTGAGACCCTGTTTCTATAAGATAAAAAAAAAAAAAATAGCCAGCCATGGTGGCACTCACCTGTGAGCCTGGCTACTTGGGAGGCTGAGGTAGGAGAATGGCTTGAGCTCAGGAGTTTGAAGCTGCAGTGAGTCATGATCACACCACTGCACTCCAGCCTAGGTGACAGAGTGAGGCTCTGTCTCAGAAAAGAAAAGGAACTGGCACCAGGACTGTTTCTCCAAGCGGAAACAAGAGAGTTCATGTGAGCACCCAGTGAGAAGGTGGACATCTGCAAGCCAGGGAGAGAGGCCTCACCAGAAACCGACCTTGCAGGCACCTTGGCCTTGGATTTATAGCCTCCAGAGCTATGCGACAATAAGTGTCTATTGTTTGGGCTATCTAGTCTTAGGGATTTTGTGATGGCAGCTTGAGCAGACTTGTACATCCACCTTGGTACCTTTAAGACTTTCTCTTCAAAACACCTCATATAACACTCAGAGGCCGGGCGCGGTGGCTCAAGCCTGTAATCCCAGCACTTTGGGAGGCCGAGACGGGCGGATCACAAGGTCAGGAGATCGAGACCATCCTGGCGAACCCGGTGAAACCCCATCTCTACTAAACAATACAAAAAAAAAAAACTAGCCAGGCGAGGTGGCGGGCGCCTGTAGTCCCAGCTACTCGGGAGGCTGAGGCAGGAGAATGGCGTGAACCCGGGAGGCGGAGCTTGCAGTGAGCTGAGATCCGGCCACTGCACTCCAGCCTGGGTGACAGAGCAAGACCCCGTCTCAAAAAAAAAAAAAAAAAAAAAAAAACACTCAGAAAAATGCCATGCTTACCTAATCCCACATTCCACAGCACCTTCCTAACCCTTACTGCCTCTCCAGCAGGGCCAGGTCTGGGAAGGTGGGGAGGTACTTTCTTTCCTAGGGCACAAAAATGACGGGGATCCCAAAAACTCAGTAATTAAATGACATTTTAATTAAATGTTTTTAAAAAATCAAAATTTGGCGGTGGCTCATACCTGTAATCCCAGCACTTTGGGAGGCCAAGGCAGGCAGATCACGAGGTCAAGAGATTGAGACCATCCTGGCGAACATGGTGAAACCCCACCTCTACTAAAATTACAAAAATTAGCTGAGTGTGCTGGCGTGCGCCTGTAGTCCCAGCTACTTGGGAGGCTGAGGCAGGTGAACAGCGTGAACCTGGGAGGCAGAGGTTGCAGTGAGTCAAGATCGCGCCACTGCACTCCAGCTTGGTGACAGAGCGAGACTCCATCTAAAAAAAAAAAAAAAAAATCAAAATTAATGCAAAAACTCCATAAGACTTTGGCTACGTCATAATTTTGCCCACAGCTAGTCATGGTTTATAGCTATTTCTCCCTTGTTTTTCAATGTAAGTACAGCCTCTGTGAGTGGAACCCAAACTCCATGCTTGAGATAAAGGAACTACCCTTTTTTCCTCATTACAGATTATTAAGATGTTAAGGTCGGGCACAGTGGCTCACACTTGTAATCCCAGCACTTTGGGAGGCTGAGGCAGGCAGATCATTTGAGGTCAGGAGTTAAAGACCAGCCTGACCAACATGGCAAAACCCCTTCTCTACTAAAAATACAAATATTAGCCAGGCATGGTGGCGCACACCTGTAATCCCAGCTACTTGGGAGGCTGAGACATGAGAATCGCTTGAGCCCAGGAGGCAGAGGTTGCAGTGAGCTGAGATCACACCATTGCACTCCAGAGCCCGGGTGACAAAGCCAGACCCTGTCTCAAAAAAAAAAAAAAAGATGTTAATAATAATCAACAAGCATGGGCTGGACACCAGCTGTGTTGCAGGCTTTGTCCTGGGTGCAGAGTGTTCAGTAGTGAGCAGGGTGGACAAGGCCAGCCTAATGGAGAGGGCAGTCTGCAGAGGAACAGAAACAAGTAAGGGCCTGCAAGAGTCCACAGAACTGGGGCCACATGTGGTGCCTGTAAAGGGGAGTTGATGATGGAGTCACATGGAGGACACCTAAGCTTGAGTGAGAGCATCAGGAAGGTGGCCCTGGGGAAAGAGGCATCTTTGGCAGTTTAGCAAGTGACAGAGGTGGGAAGACCCAGATCTAGGCAGAGGAGAAACATGTGAGAATCTTCAAATTGTTGCTGTTTACTGAGCACTGACAGATTACAAACACCGTGAGGTTGAAAGCTCCTGACATCCTGTAAGATAGGTGAGCTTCTTCCTCACACACTCCCATCTGATCCATCGACAAATTCCATTGGTTCCATCTTCAAAATAGGTAAGAGAGTCCAACCACCTCCCCCTAGATCCATCCCTACCACCCCAGTCTGAGTCTCCTAAATGGTCCCTGGCTCCCACTTTCAGTTTAGTTTAGTTTAGTTTAGTTTGGTTTTGAGACAGGGTTATACTCTGTCACCCAGGCTGGAGTGCAGTGGCATGATCACAGTTCACTGCAGCCACAACCTCCCTAGGCTCAGATGATCCTCCTACCTCAGCCTCTCCAGTAGCAGAGACTACAGGCGTGTGCCACCATGCCCAGTTAATTTTTGTATTATTTGTAGAGGTGGGTTTTCGCCATGTTGCCCAGGCTGGTCTCAAACTCCTGAGCTCAAGTGATCCACTTGCCTCAGCCTCCCAAAGTGCTGGGATTATGAGAAAGAACCACCATGTCCTCCTCCTGGTTCCCCACCTTTGCTCTCTTCAGTCATTTATCAACGTGGATGCCAGAGTCATCCTGCTAAACGATAAAGCAGATCATGCCACTTCTCCGGCTCAAGCCTTCCAATTGCTTCTCATCCTTACTCAGAGTAAA